GGAAGAGCTAAGTCATGAGGCTTTGGCGCTGTCGCGCAGCAGTATCGGAACTTCATGCGAGGCCGATTCGCAATCGGCAAAACCAACTGATCACAAGAGGGGTTACCACACAGGGCGATTGGTAAGACGTGTATGGTTTACGAGCTTGGTTACCACACCTTGGGGTTAAAGGGCCGAGGGAGTACTCGCAGTTTGGGTTACCACGCCTTGCGATGGATGTCCGTGAGGGGTGGCACCGAATTTCAGAAATGTGGCAAATCCACTGTGTTTTTGGACCCTGACCCCGCCTGCGTGAGGGGTGGCACGAATTTCTGCGTGAGGGGTGGCACCGAATTTCAGAAATGTGGCAAATCCCTATGTTTTTGGACCCTGACGCCTGCGGATCTGCGTGAAGGGTGGCACCGAATTTCAGAAATGTGGCAAATCCCCTGTGTTTTTGGACCCTGACCCCGCGGATCTGCGTGAGGGGTGACACCGAATTTCAAAAATGTAGCAAATCCCCTGTGTTTTTGGACCTTGACCCCGCGGATCTGCGTGAGGGGTGGCACCGAATTTCAGAAATGTAGCAAATCCACTGTGTTTTTGGACCCTGACCCCGCGGACCTGCGTGAGGGGTGGCACCGAATTTCAGAAATGTGGCAAATCCCCTGTGTATTTGGACCCTGACCCCGTGGATCTGCGTGAGGGGTGGCACCGAATTTCAGAAATGTAGCAAATCCCATTTGTTTTTGGACCCTGACCTCGCGGATCTGCGTGAGGGGTGGCACTGAATTTCAGAAATGTGGCAAATCCCATGTTTTTTTGGACCCTGACCCCGCGGATCTGCGTGAGTGGTGGCACCGAATTTCAGAAATGTTACAAATCCCATGTGTTTTTGGACCCTGACCCCGCGGATCTGCGTGAGGGGTGGCACCGAATTTCAGAGATGTGGCAAATCCCCTGTGTTTTTGAACCCTGACCCCGCGGATCTACGTGAGGGGTGTCGATTTCGAGCCCCCCCAGCAATTCAGACAACGCGCCCAGGGGGTGCTAAAAAATCCTGTTTGGGCCTCCCCCCCCCTCGCGCGGTCAATCAACTAGTTACAGTAACCAGCAAGAAGCAGAACTGTAACACTGGAAACTACAAGCTACAACTGGTACTGGAAACTGCGAACCCGCGCCTACAGCCTGGTGGCCCCACAAGGGGGCCGGCGGATTTTTTTGCGTGTTTGTTGCCTTTTTGGGGCAGTTTGGTGGTATTATTCCCAACCCTCCTGCGTTGGGTTCTCGTTTTGAATAGAGCACTGCTCGCGCGTCGCCTTCCTTACTTCCTTCCTTCCTGCCCCTTCCCGCCCCTCTCTTCCCCCTTGCATTTTGCCTCGCTCGTCGATGCGTGCCAGCTGGGGGGCTGCGATCTGTGAAAGTGTCGCCACTTTCGAGGCCTGCTGGGGGGGCCCAGCACAGTGGGTGCTCACGGCAGACTCAAATGGGACCTCGCCATCCCTTGGGGGCTGCGATCTGTGAAACTGTCGCCACTTTCGAGGCCTGCTGGGGCCCAGCACATTGGGTATTCACGGCAGACTGAAATGGGACCTCGCCATCCCTGGGGGGCTGCGATCTGTGAAACTGTCGCCACTTTCGAGGCCTGCTGGGGGGCCCACCACAGTGGGCACTCACGGCAGACTCGAATGGGACCTCGCCATCCCTGGGGGGCTGCGATCTGTGAAACTGTCGCCACTTTCGAGGCCTGCTGGGGGGCCCAGCACAGTGGGTACTCACGGCAGACTCAAATGAGACCTCGCCATCCCTGGGGGGCTGCGATCTGTGAAACGTCGCCACTTTCGAGGCCTGCTGGGGGGCCCAGCACAGTGGGTACTCACGGCAGACTCAAATGGAACCTCGCCATCCCTGGGGGGCTGCGATCTGTGAAACTGTCGCCACTTTCGAGGGCTGCTGAGGGGCCCAGCACAGTGGGTACCCACACGCAGATTTCAAATCAGACCTCGCCATCCCTGGGGGGCTGCGATCTGTGAAACCGTCGCCACTTTCGAGGGCTGCTGGGGGGCCCAGCACAGTGGGTACTCACGGCAGACTCAAATGGGACCTCGCCATCCTTGGGGGCTGCGATCTGTGAAATTGTCGCCACTTTCGAGGCCTGCTGGGGGGCCCAGCACAGTGGGTACTCACAGCAGATTCAATTTGGACCTCGCCATCCCTGGGGGGGCTGCAATCTGTGAAACTGTCGCCACTTTCGAGGGCTGCTGGGGGGGCCCAGCACAGTGGGCACTCACCGCGGACTCAAATGAGACCTCGCAATCCCTGGGGGGCTGCGATCTGTGAAACTGTCGCCACTTTCGAGGCCTGCTGGGGGGCCCAGCACAGTGGGTACTCACGGCAGACTCAATTTGGACCTCGCCATCCCTGGGGGGCTGCGATCTGTGAAACTGTCGCCACTTTCGAGGGCTGCTGATGGGGCCCAGCACAGTGGGTACCCACACGCAGATTCAAATTAGACCTCGCCATCCCTGGGGGGCTGCGATCTGTGAAATTGTCGCCACTTTCGAGGCCTGCTGGGGGGCCCAGCACAGTGACGCCACACGCAGATTCAAATTAGACCTCGCCAGCCCTGGGGGGCTGCGATCTGTGAAACTGTCGCCACTTTCGAGGCCTGCTTGCGGGGCCCAGCACAGTGACGCCTCTCATGTAGCTTACACATCAAGTTGATTGTCCTTACAAGTGTCGGCCAACTCCTCGTTTCCATTGATGCAAATGGGTTGGGTACGTCACAGGGTAATTTATTTTTCGTCGAAAATTCCTCTGTAGGGGGACACGCCCGACATAAGCCTTGGGTTAAGTCGGGCCTGCCCCATGTACAGTCTGGGGAAAATGATAAAAGGAAGAATCAAGAGTAGCCAAAAATAGCAGAAAGTCCTGAAGTCGGGGAATGTTTCAACAGATGTTTGGTTGTTGTAAGGGTCTGGGGCTTGTGGTTCATTGTTGAGTATTTGTTTGATGGTGTTTCTGGTATTTCTTATTTTTCATCCAAAATCCGCCTGTAGGGGGACACGCCCGACCTAAGCCTTGGTCGGCCGCGCGCAGAGCGGGGGCAGGTACATAGGGGGGCGAACCGTGACAGGAACAGACCAACTCGAAGGTCCGCGCGGATTTCTCGGGTCCGCGTTGGAACCCCCTCCCTGGCGCGCGGAGCGCGCCAGGGGCGGCGCCGGAGGCGCCGCCAGGGGGCCCCAGCGCCGATCCAAGAAATCCGCGCGGACCTCCGAGCTTGTATGTTTATGTAATTTTTCGTTCCCCCGGGTAGAGGGGGGGGGGGCTTCTTAGAATCTAGGCCTCCTCGATGGGGTCGGAGCCGATGGGGTCGGAGGATCGCGCCGCATCGCCGATGCATCGGCGATGCGGCTCGATGCGGAGCCTGAGTTTCCCCACGCCGACGTAGCCGATGCATCGCCGACGTCGCCGATGCACAGCTGATGCATCAAAAACGGAGGGAAGGGGGGGAAGGCTTCTTAGTCGGTGCAGCAAAGTTAGGGTCCTGAGGGATGGGGCCCTACGCATAGGAAGGGATCTCAGGGGTGGATGTGCACGTTGTCTGGGGCACCTCGTCCTCAGGACCCCGTCCTTCAGGGCCCCATCTCTGCACAACCGACTTAGAAGCACCCCTGTTTCTTCGAAAGCGCGGCCTTGTTTGTAGATGTAGGGCTGTCGCCTTTTTTAAAGAAGAAGCCTCATTCTAAGAAACCTTCCCCCCTCCTCATCATCTGGAACAACAGAACCCCTAACCTTCAGAGCACGATGAAGACGTGTCCTCGCTGCGGCTCCTGTATTCGCATTTGGGATAATAGATCTGAGGGGTTTGGTCTGAGACATATGCAGAAAACATTCCCTACTCCTTATGTTTCTGGCCCTCCTAACTTAGATCCACCTCCCAAAGGGTTGGGGTCAGGGTAAGCCTGCCTTCTCAGGACGAGGAAGAGGAGGAAGAGGAGGAGGAGGAGGAGGAGGAGGAGGAGGAGGAGGAGGAGGGGAGGCAGGCAGGCAGGCAGGCAGGCAGGCATGCAGGCAGGCAGGCAGGCAGGGATGGAGGGCAGGCAGGCAGGCAGGCAGGCAGGCAGGCAGGGAGGGAGGGAGGGAGGGAGGGAGGGAGGGAGGGAGGAAGGAAGGAAGGAAGGAGGGAAGGAGGAGGGAGGAAGAGGAGGAGGAGGAGGAGGAGGAGGAGGAGGAGGAGGAGGAGGAGGAGGAGGAGGAGGAGGGCAGCCCCCTACCTCCCTCTGCGCGCCGCCGGCCCTGGCGCGCTGGAAGCAGGCCGGCATCGGGCACGCGCGCGTGCCAGAGGGCCCGCTCCCTGGAGGCGGCGATGGGGGGGGGGGCACGAGGCGTCCACGCGCGGGCACCGGGCGAAACCTCTTGCCGATCGGCGCGGGCCCTCGCACCCCCCTCTCCCCCTCCCCCGTGGGGCAGATCTTGGCTGTTTTGGGCGCCAGCTTCGAGCAGGACGCACAGTTCCAAACAGTCGCACTAAGCAGAGTAGTTCGTACATACGTTCGCACTGCCGCGGATCTCTTGGCAGGGTGGAACTATCCGGAGGGTCCGTCCAGCGCAGACACCTTGTCACCCGAAGCGATCCTTCTCCCCGTCCTTCGTCTTGAAGCCCTGAAGATGGGGACAAGTCCAGGCTGTCATCTCGCTGAAGCCTCCTCCTCCGCCTCCTCCTCCTCCTGCCGCTCCCCCCTCCTCCAGCTCCTCATCATGCTCTTCATCCTGCTCATCCTCATCATTCTCCTCGTCCTCCCTTTCCCCTCCTCCCTTCTCGCCCCCCCTTCCCCAGTCTACCCCCCCTCGTCATCCCCCCCCATCGTCCTTCGCGCGCTGCCTCGCACCTCTCCGTTTCGTTTCCGCCACCCTGCCCCCCGAGTCGCCGACATGGCTCGGGCCGCGCAGCCTGTCCAGCCCGGAGGCTAAACACCTCAACGCCGGAAGCACATCGAGATCCCTCCGCGCCAGCAATGGTCAGGGCCGATGCCCGCGGCGGGCTCCCGCTCGGGCCGCGCGCGCTGGCGGTGGTCGCCTGCGTCTTGGCCCCCGCGTGCCTGGCGTACCCGCAGCAGCGCGGCCGTGCCCTGGCGCCCGCTGGGGGCCCGCCCGCGCGGCAGGCGCCCCACCCGCGCGCGGCCCCCTCGGCGGGCGGCGACGGCGAGGCGTGCGAGGAGGCCGCGCGGCGGCGGCGGCAGCAGCGGCGGCGACTTCGGCGACAGCGGCGACGGCGGCGGCGGCGGCGACGGCGGCGGCGGCGGCGGCGGCGGCCGGCGGCGGCGAGGCGGAGGACGCGCCCTTCATGGCGCCGGGCCTGGTGCAGGTCGGCGCCCTGCTGCGCCCCCCGGGGTTCGCGCCCGCGGTGCGCCCCGCGGCCGTGGGGGCGATCTCGGCCGGCGGGGCGGAGGCCCTGGGCGGGCCGCTGGCCCGGGCGGGTTCGCCGCTCGCGGCGCTGGGCGTCCGCGCAGGCCCGCCGGCGGGCGGCGAGCGCCCGCGGGCGGGCGGGGCCGCTGCGGGCGGGGCGGACGGGCGGCTCTCCTGGGCGGGCTCGCCGCTCGCGGCGCTCGGCGTCCAGGCCGGCCTGGCGCTGGGCGGGGGGCACGGGCGGGCGGGCGGGGCTGCGGCCGTCGTTCTCGCCGTCGGCGTCCTCGTGGTGTCTCTCCTTCTCCTCTGCGGCTGCGGCCTCGCTCGGCAGCGGGGCCCGCGCCCGAACGGTGCCGCGAGGAGCTTGCTGGAGCAGCAGCAGGCGGCCAGACCCCCAGCGCCCATCGAGAAGCCCCAGGCAGGCCAGCCCTGCACTCCGGCCCCCCCGCCGCCCGTGCAGTCCGAGTCGCTGTCGCCGTTGCCGGCCTCCGCCGCGCCACCGACGGCCGTTCGATTGCCCGCGCCTGCGCCCGCGACCGCGCCGGCACTGGTGTCCAGGTCTCACCCTGCTCCCGGCGACGCTCCGATCCTCTGCCGGTCCCTGGTCGTGCCGCACCTGGAGTCGTGCTTCAGCATATCCATGGAGCTTCTGCTCGGCCGCCGCTGGGGCACCGTGCAGATCCAGGGCGGCGCCTCGGGCAGGACGCTGCTCGAGGCGTGCGTCGACGCGCGGCAGCTGAGCCTGCGCTCGCTGGGAAGCGACGCCGCGCCGCGCGTGACCATCCGCAACGAGGAGGGCCCGCTGGCCATCCACGGGCGGAGCGGCAGGCGCTTCGGCACCCTGGAGCCCGCCGGCGGCCCCGGCGACTGCGCGCTGCGCCTCGTGGACGGGGAGGTGTCGGGCCGGACGAAAGGGGGGGATAGGGAAAGGGGGGGTTACAAAATTTGCTGCCTGCAGCTGGTTTCGGCCCCACCGAGGGGCCCATTCCTCGATACATAGTCGCCTCCAGCGCCCGGAGGCGCCAGGAAAATCAGCTACGTGAGCTGATTCTCAAACCCCCCTTTGCCCCCCCTTTCGCCCAGCCTGAGAGGTGGGGATGAGGCTGCTGGGCGAGGCCGGCCCGGAGCTGCAGTTCCGGGCCCTCGCGCCGGATGGCCGGCAGGTTGCGGCGGGCGGGAGCTCGGGCAATCCTTAAAAATGAGGGGGCCCTTTTTTGGGCCTCCTGGGCGGCCCTCGTCGCCACCGCTGGGTTCGCCTCGAAATCCTGGTCAGAACGCACCCCGGGGGAGGTCCGGGGAGTAGCGGTATTGGTACCTTTTGGTATCCCCAGATAGATTGGGGGCAAGAAAGGTGCACCTTTCGTGCACCTTTCGTACCCCTTCGGGGCCCTAGGGGGCTCGTTTAGGGCCCCTTTTGGGGCCCCTGTCGTGCCACCCTCGACGCCCCCCCATTCATCGCCCCCCATTACCGAACGCCCAAGGAGCACAGGGGCCGACTGGACGCTGCAGGTAAAGCCCAACACGGACGCGCTCCTCAGCCGGAAGACTCAAAAGCAGCGGAGGCATCGGCTTGTTGCTGGAGGTTCGGGCGGATTCTCGGGCTTGCGCTGGACCGCCCTCCCACACCCGTGCGGGCAGGATGTTTATCCACGTCCACTGCGTCTTGAAGTTTGGTGCTCCTTTCCTTTGATACCAGAGGCACCGTGGATATGGACAGAACAATGTCGCCCCCCAGAGGTCAGATTGTTATCCATATCCACTGCGCCGCGGCACGTTGGCGCCCCTTTCCAGAAAAAGTCCAAGACGCAGTGGATGTGGATACAAGTCGTGGATACAAGTCGTGCCCACAACCCATCCCCTGGTGCGCGGTGTGGAGAGCGAGGAGGCCCCCCCGCCGACTCGAGCACTCCGCGCGGGCCTCCCCGAGTGCATGCCTGCGCTGCTCTTGGGGGCTTCCTGCCGTCACCTCCTGCATCCTGAGCATGATCTTCTACGCCCCAGGCGACCCCTCTGAGCCGGCGCCGCCGGCGTCCGCCCGCGCGCCCGCGCCTGGCCTCGCGTCGTCGCGGTCCCCTCCGCCTGCAGCCGTGCGGCCGCCGGCCCTCGGGCGGACGTCCTGCCCGGGTCTCTCGGGCAACCACGGGCCCCCGTGATGGCTCGGAGGCCGCCCGAGGGTGGCGGGTCGCCCGCGCCGGTGTGCAGCTGCAGGGCTGTTGGAGCGCAGGCCCTCTTCGTCACGAAAGGAGTCGTGGCCGCGAGGGCTCCGGCGCAAGGCGCGGGAGCGTACTGTAGGCGAGAGGTGGATCGGTGCACATCGCCGGCCTGCACAAGTCAGGGCCTGGGCCGTGGATCGCTCGCCCGGAAGAGCGGGCAGCAGCATCGTGTGTACGTATGCGTGTACCCCGAACCAGCCAGGAAGGAGGAGAGAAGGGGGCAATCGCCTCACGTGTCGCTCGCACGTCAAGTGTCGAGGTTGGGCCTGCGGGGGCTCGCTTCGGGCCCCAGGATGGGGTCGCAGGGGGCTGGGCCACGAAACTGCAGTGAGGTCCGGAGATCAGGTCTGAGCAGAAACGCCCCGGGAGGGAGAGAGGGAGGGGGAGCGGGCAGCGGGACGGGTTGGGCGCTCGTCAGACGCGCTTCCCCTCCGCTTGTCCCTCGCGTCGAGCCCACCGCTCCCTGCACTCCGCCTCATGGGGAGGATACGGAGGAGGCGACCACGAGACCATGGGCCTCGGTGGCAGGCGTGCTGGGATTTTTGCTCCTGAGCGGGGGGGGGGCGGGGGCCCCAGGAGAGGCCGTCGCGGCCGCAATACTCCTTTTTAGTAGTCGTTGGGGGAGGGGTGCGCGGGGAAAGGGCGGAATGGGGGAGGGAGGAAAAACGAGGATGGGGAGGAGGAGGAGGAGGAGGAGGAGGAGGAGGAGGAGGAGGACGAAGAAGAAGAAGAAGAAGAAGAAGAGGAGGAGGAGGAGGAGGAGGAGGAGGGCGAGGGGGAGGGGGAAGGGGAGGGGGAGGGGGAGCAGCAGCAGCAGCAGCAGCAGCAGCAGAAGCAGCAGCAGCAGCAGCAGCAGAAGGAGGAGGAGGGGAATGTGGAGCCAGATGAGCAGGCGGAGAGAGAGGAGTGCGAGCAGAGAAGGGGGAGGAGGAGGAGGAGGAGGAGGAGGAGGAGGAGGACAGCTGGAGGAGGGCGGTAGAGGGGTGCAGAGGGCATGGTGGCCAGGGAGCTTGAGGCACCCGCGCGAGCCAAGGCTTGGAATTGGCGGTGACACCGCCGTGTGTGCAAGCGTGGCGCGCGGGCCCGCCCGAGGTCTCGGGCGACCATCTAATTATGGAGCCTTGGAGCTCTGGACCCGCCTGGCTGTCGCGTCGCCGCCTGTGTCTCCATCAGGTGGCGGGGCGCCAGGGGGTCGCGCGTGCGTTCGCACTCTGTGCGGTCGCATCTGAAGACACCTCCTTGCGCTTCCGCGCATTTCCCTCGCTGGGCCGTGGAGGGGGGGGGGTTCGCGCGGGAGGCCTTGGGACCAAACCCCGGCGTTTTGTAACTGGGCGTCTCGAGAGTCTCCCCCCAATCGGGGCCGCACTGGGAACTTGGGCCCACGTGACGCGGCCGGCCTAGGCCGGGGCTGAATACACATGTGGCCGCGTGCCCGTTCAGCGCTCGGCCCTCGTGCGACTGGGCACGCTGCCTCCCAGCATATGTAATCATAGGCAGCACAGGACCCCCGCTCGGCCCGCACGAGAATCCAGCCATGTGGGGCGTTCTAGAGAGGGCCTCGCCCTCGAGGACCGAAGGAGTTGTCATCTCTTGTTCCGCGGAAGGCGGAGGCCAGCGGAAGGCCGGCGGAAGGCGGCGGAAGCAAAAGGTGCGCCCCCAAGAGATGATTTTGGGGGGGGGCTCAGGGATTCCGGAGTCCGCCATGTGTGTGTGTGTGTTTCCAACGTCCCGATGCCTCGTGGTTGGCCTCCTTCCAACATGGAGCCGTGTGCTTCTCGCGCGAAGCCCCGGTGCGCACACCCACGGGGGCGCCTCTATTTTTTCTCGGAGGCCCGGTGGTTGCGAGAGGCCCCTTCTCCGTTGCGAGGAGCAGCGTGGTCGGTACAGTCGACCCGCGGAGTAAGGATAGGCATCCCTCCCAAGGGTACCCTTTGCATCCTTGCTTCCTGGGTCCATCCTTGGACCCTCTCGTTGGCCGCGCCCCGCTCGAGACGCTTCGAAATGGGCGTCCAGGGCCCTTGCACCCTTATCGCGCATCCTTACTCTGCGGGTTGACTGTAGGGCATGGATCTACAAGGCCACGAAAGCACTGGTGTTCGAAGCCTGCTGGCCCCGCAGCGGGTCCGAAGGATAGTGTGGCATCTTGCCGCGTTTGCGTCCCTCGCGCGGCCGGGTGCTGGGGCTGTACGTGCGCCTGCACTCGTTGCCGCACTCGTGGGTGGGTGGTCCGTGCCCAGCTTGTAAATCTTACAACTGGGATAAATCGTACGATTTCACATTCGTTTCTTGTGTTTTCCTGATCCCCTGAGGAGGAGAAGAGGAGGGAGGCGGAGGAGACAGAGGAGGCGGAGGAGGCAGAGGAGGCGGAGGAGGCAGAGGAGGCGGCGGAGGAGGAGGCGGAGGAGGAGGCGAAGGAGGAGGTGGAGGAGGAGGCGGAGGCGGAGGAGAAGGAGGAGTCTTCTCCAGTCAACCCGCATAGTAAGGATGGGCAGCCTTCGCAAGGGCACCCTTGCATCCTTGCCTCCTTATGCCTCCTTGGTCCATCCTTGGCCACTTTCGTTGGCCGCGCCCCGCTCGCAACGTGTCGAAACGGCCCTCCAAGGCCCTTGCATCCTCACCGTGCATCCTTATGATGCGGGTCGACTGTGCCCGCCTTGGGCCAAGACTTGTATCGGTGCCATTTCTACGCGCCGGGCCCAGGCAACATCAAAAATTCTGGCTGTCTGTTCGTCTCTCCCTCCCTCTCTCTCTCTCTCTCTCTTTCTCTCTCTCTATCCTCTCACTAGTTTGGGGACATCTACCAGGTGCTGTTTTCAGCGACCTTCGGCTCGCCCGTGAGCAGGGCTGTCTCAGGAGAGATTGCGGCTGGAGGCCGCCAGCCACATTCTAAGCATATAAGGTCGATCTGCGTCACACTTGTGCTCTCTCTCTCTCTATCTCTCTTTCTACATTTCTCTTAGTCGCTCACTTTCGTGATTGCGTCTTCCTGTTCTTCTGGTTCCAGCTGCTCTTCCGTGTGACTTATGCAATAAGTAGGTGGGTGGGGCTGGGGCCCCCGAAATTCTACAAACGTTTTCGCTGAGCGTCCTACCCTTTTCTGGGGGCAACGCTATGCCCGCTGACCCTTCGACTCGCGCTGCAGTGGCTCGCATTCCTCCTCCAAAAGGTATTCCGCTTCGGAGACATCCGAGGTAATCCCTTGCCCAAGACGAGATCCGTGGTTCGACCAGGCACGCACACGAGCTACAAAGGGCACCTTGAGTCATGTCGTGCATGCGCCCCTTCCGCCCCCTTCATCCGCGTGGGCGCTGGCGAGGACCTCGGCCGAGGAGGAGGAGGAGGAGGAGGAGGAACAAGAGCGAGGAGGGAGGAGGGAGGAGGAGGAGGCAGGAGGGAGGAGGGAGGAGGGAGGAGGTCCACTGTCGGGACGCTGGGTGTCGACCGCGGCGGTCTCGACCAGGCCTGAGGCGCGGGAGGGGCTGGAAAGATTGGCGTTCCCCGCTTTCGTCTCTCCGAGCGCCGCCGGCGTCGAGAGCGAGACCACACGCCGCATGCATATGTCATAGACCACATATATATATATAGATATAGATATGTATACACACGCTTAAATATACAGGAGGAGTTCCAGAAGAGGGCCTCGCCTTCGAGGATCGAAGGAGCCGCCATCTCTTCCTCGGCG